GGAACAGGATTTAGGAAGAAAGAAGATGGTGACTGATGTTGCATTTCAATTTTTGAAGATTGTGGCAAGGAAGCAAGAAAATTGAAGGGAGTTCCACAAGCAAGAATTGCGAAAAAAGAAACTATTAGAATAGAACATATGGTTGCATCAAAGCTAGTCCAATAGTAAAACAGTGAGACCTAATTGCCAATCTAGTAGCATGCTTAAATTCATACAGATGAGGCATTAAGGAGAACAGCTCATCAGAACAATTGCCATGAAAATATAAAGAGAAAAGACAGATGGAAAACTACGACACATTGGTGGGAAAGTGACTGAAGACGAGATGCTAGGTCAGGAATAATTACATTACAGACCCTGCTTTAGATTGTATGTATGACTTATACTTGCAGTCTGGTATAAACTTAATTTCTATTAGATGTTCAAAGCATGGAATCTCTTTGAGAATGCGATCATTTATTGGATCTGGAGAAAACTCAGGTTCTGATTGGTGATGCTGAAATGATACTAGCTTGGTTTTTGACATACTAAAAATTACAAATTAGATCTTCCCCCCCTCCTCCCACTGAGTTAGGTCAGAGGAGAAATCAGATGCAGGGCTCAGAATCTCTTGTTTTCTGGAGCAACATCTGTATAGATATTTACTAACAATCTAAGAGTGTTGCTAGGCAGATTGTTAATATAAAGCAGAAAGAGGGCAGGACCGACAAGAGAGCTTTGGGTGATGCCTGCATTGATCTTACGGAGCAATAGAGGCCGGCGTTGCCCGGGGATGTAACAGTATGAGATAGATCAAGTATCAACCATCATAAAAACTGAAAAATAAAATTGATAAAGATTATTGTTTAAGGTTGACAGACACGCATGTCTTAATTAGTTTTTTTTTTTTTTTTACGAATTGGACAAACCCAAACTCAAACAAAAACATTGTTTTCAATCATTATGAGTCTACCAATTGAATAGAATTTTATTATAAACAATTGTCTTGTAAATGGAATTTTTAAAGCATTCTGAATGTAAAAATTAAGAAAAAAGTGTGCAAGACAAAAAGAAACACTACCTACCAAAAAAAAAAAGTGAAGTTTTGTTGAAATCGGTTGAAAACTGTAGGAAATCCGATCCCATATATAAAGGAACACACACACAAACAACCAAACTGGGTTTTATAATAAGTATAACTCGATATGAGTTGTTCCCCTTTCATTAATGCTTCTTAATCGTGTTTTCAAATTGATTTCATGCAAAAACAATTTACATCTTTATTGTGGAGTTGACAAAAGTGTTGGGGGGGAGTATGCAGCAAATGGAGCAAGGAATAACTGAGTAGTATTAAATAAGAAATAGATAAGTTATCTATTGACATGAGCAGTGGAACAAGGACAATCTATCCCTGAGATTAAAGAAAAGGTTCAGTTTGAAATTTCCTACAGGTTACCTAGATTGACAGACACCTGAAGAAGGCCGAAGGACACAATGGCCAAAACGTTATGATAACAACAACAAATATAAGCACATTAATTTGACTGTAAATAATGTAAATAATAATTTACTTTATTCAGTTATTTGCATGCATGTCCTTATCGTTGTTGCTTTGACTTTCATGTTTCAACTGATTGAAATATACAGGGTATGATGCGCAAATTGTCACAATGATGTCATTAAATAAATTTCAAGATATTTTTGTGTAATTTTAGTAAATATATCTGTTAAAATGGGATGTCAGTGTTATTTTCATTTTTGTGTAATTTAGATGAAAATTTATCCATTGCACCCTGTAAGTTTACATTATTTCTTGAAGAATAAAATTGATAAACAAGAAAGAAATTATTTATGACTTAACAGTCTCCCAAGTGGATGTTTCCCTGATCACTTCAATCTTAACCTGTTCAAGTCTAAAGTTAACAATTATCTTCCACTTCTATCTATATACACTACCCCTTAATGCAACCCTCTATCTCGAGTGTCTCCTGGGTGTAGTACAGAGTGAACCTTCCTGTAAATAAAATTAAAAAAAACCTAATCGATTGAGGGCCAGAATAAAATCACAATAAAAAAGCATTAAATACTAGTCAAAATTAATAATGTTGATGGCAACAACAAAAGTCATTCTGGCAATGACAATGAAGATGTCAACATTTTAACACTGAATTTCACTGAGTTTACTGAAGAATTAAAACATCAGAATATTTTGACAACAAATGTCGAACTATCAGATTATTTCAATAAAGTATAATAAACTTTTACTTTTATTGTAGATTTTCATAACCTGTAATAACAAGAAAGCTAAATTTAATTTGTTATTTAAAAGAGAAATTGATTTACTATAAGATAAAATCAACTTGTAAGACTTGATTTTCAGCAGCTATTAGATATATTACTTTAATTGCATTAACATCAATAATTTAATCAGGACTCCAGGGATGTAACAATTGAAATTTCTTAATGGTTGACTGGGTTAAATAATATGGCTTGCAAGTGCAGCCCTCTTCGTTAACAGGCTACTATTCTAACCACCAACCAAAAACTACAAATACAGGAAGCATTTGTGTAGCGCATGTGTTCACTTATTTTGACATGTATATATATTTGTTTTAGAGAGAGAAAAATGGTGTCTTCTATTAGCAGTAGTACCATTTATATATGTGTATGGCTATTAAGTTTTTATTCTTTTAAGGTGACACATGAATGGCAAAAAGATTCCTTTCTGATAACAAATGAAGGTTGACACAAAATGATTCTTGTGGTTAGGGTAGGGGTATTGACAGATGGCTGAAAAGAAGACATGACAGAGGGTGGAAGGTCTATGGATCTACAGAGCCAAGCCAAATTTCTAGCTCTTCCTTCATTTGTGTTTCCTCCCTGCTTGCAAATGTTAGTGTAAAAAGCAAGGTTGTTATGAAACAAACAAACTCATCCAACTGTAAAAACAGTCAAAATGTTAGTTTCACTGGATGAAGTCAGAAGAGGTTGTTGGAGTGAAGAGAGTAAGAAAGAGTAATGTAGATTGTTTGAAGCCATGAAAGAGAGCGGATTCAGAAGGTGAGGAGTGGGGGATGACACCCACCTGCTTTGGACAATTTGTCAGATCAGCATGGAAGAATAAATTGAAAAGTTTTTTCCCTCCCTTTCTCCATAATTTTCATTCTGTTTTCACCTTATGAACTCAACTCACCTTTCCATTATTTTTTTAGTTTTTTTTTTTTTTTACTTTCTATGAGAAGGGTGAGAAAATCTGATACTCAGTGGAGATATTGAAATCAAAAGAAAAATAGCAAGTAACCTATCTAATAAGCCTGACTAGCAGAACAGTGAATGAGAACATTAAAAAGACTAACATTGCTAATGAATAGGAAGTTAAGGAAAACCCGTGTGTTGAAGGGACACGCCATATAGATGATCCTAGATAGATAAAGAGGCGTTTGTAAAGGGAGATAACCCAGATATCACTATGACTAGATGTCACCATCATATGTATAACAGATAAGAAGTTGTGGAGAGTCATGTCATAAAGGGACCTGCCATATAGAAAATCCTAGATAGATAAGTAGAAGCTTGTACATGGAGATAGCCCTAATATCATTACGAGTAGATGGTACTGTCATATGTACAACAGATAGAAAGTTGTGGAGAGTCATGTAATGAAGGGACATATCATATAGAAGAAGATCCTAGGTAGATAAGTAGGAGTTTGTAAGGGGAGATAAGCCTGATATCACTCTGATTAGATAGTACTTTCATATGTGTGCTAATGAAGCTTAGCAAATATACATATTTTTTTTTACTTTATCACTGTGATTGAAACAACACATACACATAGGTGAGAAATATGTTTAAATGATAGCAACAGATGTAATGTAGTCCTATGACTTTAATACATGTCAAGCTTATATGGTTTTCATTATGTAAGATACATAATGATCAGCAAGTATCCAAGGAGGATTTCTGCTCACATCTTGCTTTCATGCCTTTCCATGTGGTCAGAAATTTTGAAATAAGGCTACTGTTTATATGTTCCTCTTGACTTAAAATATGTAAACCTCACCATTTGTTTAACTTCTCACCTTCTGTTATACAGAAAAGGGCCCTCACCCACAACTACAGAAATGCTTTATTTTTCTGTTTCTAAACTAAACTAGGGATCCCCATACATTTTAAACCATTAATCCCTTCAAGGAATCCTTATCTCTTATTGACCCCTCCCAACCCACCAACATGCATAGAAAAAATATCAATAATAATTATTTTTAATTTAAGGGTAGAAATTAATTTGTCTTTTCCCATCATTATTGTTTCTTGACAAAATTCATTTCAGCTTTACATTTTGTCATTCCTTTTTCAATTCCTATATTAGACATGTTTGTTTGAATAATAATAATGAGAAAAGTTTCATAAATAATATAGATAATAAACACATTAAAAATAAATGGATATATTTTTTACAGAATTGGCTGACATTATTAATGAGAAAAATCAACTTTTCATTGCTTGTCACAATTTATTTGAGAGATGTTAATATATTCCTTATGTTGAAGTAGCAAATTGCATCTGGAAATATGATCCTATAGGTTCCTTTTTTTGGTAGGATTAATAATGGTTTATTTTATTTGTTTGACAATCTCTTTCATTTCACATTGTTCTAAAGTATCCACTTTTCATCACAATTTAAAAAAAAAATCTTTTGCTAAGCAAATCACACAGTCCAATAAGATTTGTTTTAACTTATATGGAAGTCACACATAAAAGTGACTAACATAACAAAAATGATGCAAATGATTTTGAACATGATGTCTATCTTCTAAAGCATGTAATACGGATCCTTTTCAAGTGATGTTTTCATTTCATTACTACCAACCTGACAGTGGAGCATCTCATTCACTGAGGAATCTCTAATACAAAACTTTGCCAACCACATTTATTCATTCAGAGCATCTTTTCCATAAATGGCATATATTACTTTTTTTGCATTCTTACATTTCTTAAAATAAAAACATAATATACAACCACATCACGTTGAAACATTGGTTCCCATGTGATCACCAAATATAAGCAACATCAAGCCTGGTCAGTACCTAGATGGGTGACCACTTTGGAATATCATGTGCTGTAAGCTTGGATGTGCTGGTGGTGTAATGGATAATGGCCTGGAATTGACAATAAGAAAACTGAATTCCAATTCCTTTTGGATTTTTTATGTTCACCTATGAGCAAATACTCTTGGGAAAAGTATGAATTCATCTTTTTCTCCCCCCCCGCTATGGGTTAATTAGTAATATTTTCTGACTTTAAATAACCTGCAAAGGGTTTATAAGCCATAAATCAATCATTAAAAAAATCTAACAAAGAAAATCTTACTTATTTTATTTCATTTTCAGTGCTTGATTCAATCAACAAATATATTTTAGAGTCTGTCTATATTTCTGAGATGAGGTATTATGTACATTATTTACATTATTCGGACTATTGTCCTCATCTTTGTCACCATATTTATCACAATGTTTCGGCCGTTGTACGTTTCGGACGTTGTACGCTCCGGCCTTCTTCAGGTGGTTGGAATTTCAAACTGAACCCTTTATTTCACTCACTAGGGTAGACTGTTCTAGTTCCACGTGCCATGTTTGATGGATGTCAGTTATTAGTTATCTCCTGCTAATTTCCCTCTGAAAGTTCTCCACTGCCTTAACCGGGTATTGAACTCACACTCTTTGGGTCCTGTCACTGATATATATATATATATATATATATATATAGACAATAAACGTAATCTCCTTGAATATACTCTCAGGTGCCAAATAAATGCCAAGTCCCACTTGTTAATTTTTGTACTGCACACCCTGATCTTATTTGGACCACCACCCACCCTGTCTATTATTTTTTTTTACTTTTGTCAATCAACATTTATTTATATTGTAAAGCTGGCAAGACTTCATGGAAATATTTTCAATTTTTGCGAAAAGCATTTCATTAAACATATTGATGGACATTTATCTTTAGTTTCCTTTCTGTTTGATCTTGTTATGGTTTGAAAGATTCATTTTTAATGTATTGAAACTCTCTATTAGATTTTATTATTTTTTTTTTCAATCTCCTCCCCCTTTATTACAAGCCCACTCTCATTTGGCACACAAGGGTATATAGTTAAAAACAATAATCAATAGGCTTTTAACGTCATCTTACAACAAAAAAAACGAAAGAAAATCTCAAGCAAGCCAATGAAAAGTCAGTATTTTCTTTGTTTTATTTTTATAAAAAATAACTTTTTGCTAATTGTATCTCTCCTCAAATATGAAACTCTTAAGTCCTTTAATGACCCTGTGAAAATCAAGCTAACAATCAAAATTCTTTACAAGTTTTCAGAGAGTAACAATTATGCTATAAAGGACACATTTACTGGTTTCAGGATAACCTCAAGAGGAACTTGATTTGGAAATGGTTAATTTGTCAGAATAAAGATATTTCAAAATAAATACAACCAGAAATTAACAAAAACCAAAAAAAAAAAAAACAGCTGACGAATGTATTTCTCAGTGAACAATTTTAGTTTCATCATGGACCTGGATTGAGTGATTGTCTGGTTCTAAGAACTTAACATTTATTGAGGGAAAAGTATTCAAACATGATCTGGAATTCTATAACTATTTCTGTCAATTTTTTGCAAAAAGAACACTTCCTATTATGAACATTCCATTGTTAACATCTTCACACAATGCACATAATAACTGTAAAAAAATGGTGTTACACCTATTGCCAGCATGTGTGTGTGTGTGTGTGTATATATATATATATATATATATATATATATATATAAATAAAAACAAGAACTTGTAAAACTTGGGATGACCCATGCCCTTTATGCCTACATGAAAAACTACACATTATTAAGTTTCTAAATAATAAAATCTATTAAACAATAGACAGGAGTTAACGGTTTTTTGCTGACATCATCAAATTTTGCATTGAATAATTAGCATAAAAACAAACAAACAAGATAATAATTTTTAAATTCCATAGTCTAAATAAATAGTTTAAATGCTCTACAAAAAAAATAAATAAATAAATAAAGATAACCCTTTATGAAGTTGTCAAAAAAACAAATGTTAGCAACTTACGACAGTTTTTTTTATATACACAAAACCCTTTCAGAAAAAAATAAAAAATAAAATAAAAAATAAATAAATCTCCATAGACAATTAACCAGAGTAGACGATGTCATCTTCTGCTTTAAATTTAGACACCCCAACCTTATTCTGACTTGACGTCTGTGAATGTTACTGAGATATTGATACAAATTATTAACCCTTACGCCCCTTTTCTTTAAACAATTGCTCTAGCCGTTACCATAGTAATCTTAATTTCAATAATGAATATCATTATAAAATGCATAAATTTCAGGAATAAGTTATTCCAAAAAAAATTTTGCTTGAAGATGGAAAAGAGCTTAGTACTTTAATTCAATTTAATTCAAATAATTATATTGAAGTTTTCGGCTCTTGTTTTGAAACATGAGAACTCTTATGTAGCGTTGGAATCATATTTTTAAATAATTATATATATATATATATATATATCAGATATATGATACATTTTAATTTATATTACAATGAATCATTCATACAAAAAGTCTCATTATCTCATTAACTTTACTAATTTACTTTTGTATGAATGATTCATTGTTATATAAATTAAACTCCACCACCCACATATTTGATTTAAAAGAACTGATCTGACATGCAAACTTCTGGGAAAACAACTGAGACATTGCTCTCATTATTGAACTATTTAGTTCATGCCACGTTGACTGATAAACACCTACAACAAAAAAATTCTCAAATTGACATATTAGTAAAAAAAACATTCTCACTTAAATTTTCAAAAATTCAACCTTAGCATTGCGATTACATGCTCCACTAGTTTGTATCTATTATCAATAACACATTTCAAAAAAACATATTTTGATTTGCATTTATATTTTTTCGTCTCAGATGCTACCTGAATTTTATCAAAAAGAAAATAGTTTCCATGCTTGATGATGACTGGAGAACCTGTTGAAAGTACTTGCATATTTAAAGAAGGCCTAATACAGTTTATAATTTTAAAAAACAAGGATCATAAAATTCATTGACTGGTTAGTGTGTTAATGCATTTTTAATATTTAGTTAGCAAAGTGAATTCGCCATTTTATCTCATTTACTTTACTAATTTACTTTTTGTATGAATGATTCATATGATAAAAAATATAGTTTTAAAGTAAGGAATATTCATAAGAAAAAGTGGTCAGTATGCAGCATAGAGTGTGCGTAAATATAAGAATGTACATTAATAGCCTGAAGATTGCATTCAAGCATGAAACACTATTGCTATTCAGCATTAACCTCAGTGTCTATTCTTTATATATATATATATATATATATATATATAAGATATTATATACTAATTTATACATCAAACTAAGAGTTGATAATCAAATGACAAAATAGAAAAAAATCTCTTTTAACTTGTTTTTTCTACCAATATACTTATTCAGGCTATTAATGGTTTTAGTGATGGAATTATATATGTATGGGATGGGGAAGAGAAATAAAATAAATATCAGTGGCACTTATACATTGAAAATGCTAAAGATAATGAAATTTAAATTTAAATTTTTCATGTCCAGTATATCTAGATGCTTAACTTAGCTGATTCATCGTTGTTTGGCAACCAGTCTAGGAGAAGGCCAATAGTGAATTCAAAATGTGAGGGAAGCTGTATGGAGACTTAATGGCATACTGTGCACCATTTGTGCATTATTAGTTCTTTTGAAAAGTATGGCTGCTCATGCCTTCTACACAGGATAATCAAATCATGTGTAGGTAGTCTGGTTCTAAGAACTTAATTGTTAAGCCCTGATACATAATCAATCAAATGTGACTTTATATGTATATATATATCATCATCCACAGACAGACTGTTTCGCTGTTTCACAGCTCATCAGTGTGGCTAGACATCTACAAAATTATATATATATATATATATATATATATATATATAATTATTTATTTAAGAATATGATTCCAACACTACATAAGAGTTCTCATGTTTCAAAACAAGAACCGAAAACTTCAATATAATTATTTGAATTAAATTGAATTAAAGTACTAAGCTCTGTTCCATCTTCAAACAGAGCTTAGTACTTTAGTTCAATTTAATTCAAATAATTATATTGAAGTTTTCAGCTCCTGTTTTGAAACATGAGAACTCTTATGTAGCGTTGGAATCATATTTTTAAATAAATAATTATATTTATGCTCTACTTTTGTATCAAGCACTATTTTTTAAAAATAATAACAAAAATACTAAAGAACTTTGGATTATTTACCTGACGAGTTCTTTCCTATTTTTATATATATATATATATATATATATATATATATATTTTTAGGTAAAGAAGTATGACAAAGTGAAAAGTTTTGAGTGACACATTTTGTCCTTTATTACTTCCTCGGACTAAGTTTATGTTTTTATGTTGATGCACCTACACATGTATATGAGAATCACTGGGAAATTTATATTTGAAAATAATTTTTTTTTAAATATGTCTTTTGGGTCTATAATCTAGCCAATTTCATTTAGATTTTTTTCCTTCTTGTTTATGCTTCCATCATTTTTGTTATTAAACATCCCACATTGTGATAATAGAAAATCTTCCAAGAATGGGACTGATCACAACTTTAATTTGAAAAATGCTACTCTAATCAAAAGAAAAAACAATTTACTAAGAGGAAAATATTTAGAAAGTACTCTAATTGGTATAGATTATCCACAGTTAACTTGCATCCAGGTTCTTACAACATTCTTGGCAGATCTTCCATTTTCATAATGTGGAATATTTAATAACAAAACTGATAGAAATATAAACAAAAAGAAAAAGAATCAAAATGAAATTGGCTAGACTATATGCTCAAAATGCATATAAAAAAAAAATTATTTTAAAATTTAAAATTCCCAATATCTATCATTTGTGTACATATGAAGTCACATCAACTTAAACTGATGATGGTCTAAAGGAGGAAATGTGTCATGCAAAAACTTATTCAACTTTGTCATACTTCTTACCCCTAAAATTGTTCTT